TTTTCTATTGCCAAAGTCAAAACCTACTCATTTCTGTTCATCAGACAGCAGTCGATTCTCAATATTTGCTTGATTGTTTTGTACTATTGTTTTGAAATTATTGCCATAACAACCAGCCCATGTCTTAGAATTTATGCCAATTAAGAAATTGTATCAATGATCTATATATAATATAGTCTGCAGTCATTAATATTGTGAATGTGTTTACTAGATAGTGTATTACAGATTTAATGTTACTATTTATTTTTTGGCCAAGCAATTGGTTCATTTTTACTCATTTATTTATCATTCGAATGCTGTACTTGAGGTATAGAAGAGTCAGAGGTCTAACAAAATTCAAGATTCAGAATGTTAGATAATAGTGATATCCCGAACGGTTCGCTGGCGAATAGTTCCTGGCAAACTTTGCTTGTTCGCGTTCACCACGGATGGCGAACATATGCGCTGTTCGGTCCGCCCCCTATTCGTCATCATTGAGAAAACTTTGACCCTGTACCTCACAGTCAGCAGACACATTCCAGCCAATCAGCAGCAGACCCTCCCTCCCAGACCCTCCCACCTCCTGGACAGCATCCATTTTACATTCATTGTGAAGCTGCATTCTTAGTGAGAGGAGGGACAGTGTAGGTGCTGCTGATTTGATAGGGAAATTGATAGCTAGGCTAGTGTATTCAGTGTCCACTACAGTCCTGAAGGACTCATCTGATCTCTGCTGTAAGGACAGCACCCCAAAAAGCCCATTTTAGGGCTAGAACATCAGTCTGCTTTTTTTTTCTGTGTAATGTAATTGCAGTTGCCTGCCTGCCAGCATGTGTGTCAGGCTCACAGCATATACTGTGCCCACTTGCCCAGTGCAACCACTCACTCACTGGTGTCACAATAGCTTGCATTTAAAAAAACCTAAACTTTTTTGACTGTAACATAATAGCAGTCAGTTTCCTTCACGAGTGTGCATTTCAGGGCCTGCCCATTGCCACCACTCACTCACTTCTGTCCCAATAGCTTGCATTAAAAAAAAAAAAACTTTTTGGACTGTAATATAATAGCAGTCAGTTTCCTTCATGAGTGTGCGTTTCATGGCCTGCCCAGTGCCACCACTCACTGGTGTCACAATAGCTTGCATTTAACAAAAAACAAAACTTTTTGGACTGTAATATAATAGCAGTCAGTTTCCTTCACACGTGTGCGTTTCAGGGCCTGCCAGGGCACAGTGTCACACCAGTGCAACTCATATCTTGTGTAACAGTAGTGTATATTTTAAGAAAAAAATTAAATTTGGACTGTAATAGATTGAATAGCAGTTACTTGTCTGCAAGCGTGTGTGTCAGGCCTACAGCGTCTACTCTGCCAACTTCTGCCACTGCACAGTGCCACTCATATCTGTGGTCACAGTACCTTGCACGCATACTACCACTAATCGGAAAAAAATGACAGGCAGAGGCAGGCCACCCCACAGGGGCCGTCGTGGTCGTGGTGCTGTGATTCCCTTTGGCCCTAGAATAATGCCCAGTGTTCAGAGACCACGTACCCTGAACTCGAAAAGTTCTGAGGACATAGTTGACTGGCTAACACAGGACACCCAATCTTCTACAGCTTCCACTCGGAACCTTGACGCACCATCCTCCTCCTGCTTAGCTTCGGGCACCTCTCAAGTTACCACTCGCCCGCCTGCCACCACCACCAATACTAGCACCACAGCAGCTTCACTTGGTATGTCAGAGGAGTTATTTACACATCAGTTGGAAGAAATGAGTGATGCGCAACCATTATTGCCAGAGGATGTAGATAACAGGGATATGTCTCAGTCAGGCAGGATTACACACATGGACGTACGGTGTGATGTTGATGATGTTGTACCCGCTGCTACTTCCTTTGCTGAGTTGTCAGATACAAGTGAAGCGGTTGATGATGACGATGCATCCGTGGATGTCACGTGGGTGCCCGCTAGAAGAGAAGAAGAACAGGGGGAAAGTTTAGATGGGGAGACAGAGAGGAGGAGGAGTAGACGAGTTGGAAGCAGGGGGAGGTCGTCGCAAGGAGCTAGTGGCACAGTCAGACAGCATGCATCGGCACCCGGGGTCAGCCAGACAGCACGCCAATCAACGCATGCTGTTGCCACCACCAGAATACCGTCATTGCAGAGCTCAGCAGTGTGGCATTTTCTTGTGTGTCTGCCTCTGACAACGGCGATGCCATTTGCAACCTGTGCCAAAAGAAAGTGAGTCGTGGGAAGTCCAACACCAACCTAGGTACAACTGCTTTGCGAAGGCACATGATCGCACATCACAAATGCCTATGGGATCAACACGTGAGTACAAGCAGCACACAAACTCAAAGCCGCCATCCTCCTCCTGGTCCAGCATCTTCAGCCACGTTAACCACTGCTGTCCTCCTTGCCCCCTCTCAACCATCTGCCCCTCCGTCTCTTGTCTTGAGCAGTTCCTGCTCATCTGCCCACAGTCAGGTGCCTGTCAAGGACATGTTTGAACGTAAGAAGCCAAAGTCACACCCTTGCCCGGCGTCTGACAGTGGAAGGTATCCGGCCGAAATTTCTTTGCACAAAAGGCAATTCCCAACCTGTACTCGATTTTGCAAAAGGAAGTAATGGCATGTCTGGCACACAGTGTTGGGGCAAGGGTCCATCTGACCACTGATACCTGGTCTGCAAAGCATGGTTAGGCAGGTATATCACCTACACTGCGCATTGGGTAAACCTGCTGACTGCTGCCAGGCATGGAATGCATGGCTCTGCAGAGGAGTTGGTGACACCGTCACGACTTGCAGGCAGGCCTGCTGCCACCTCCTCTACTCCTCCTACTCCATTCTCTTCCATAACCTCCTCGGCTGAGTCCTCTTCTGCTGCTGCGTCTTGCTCCACATCAACGGCACACCCCCAGCTCCCCAGGTACTATTCCATATCCCAGGTACGCCAGGATATGGAATAGTGTCATGCCGTCTTGGGGTTGACTTGCCTGAAACAGAGAGTCACCCCGGACCAGCACTCCTGTCCGCCCTGAACACACAGGTGGATCAGTGGCTGACTCCGCACGAACTGGAGATCGGCAAAGTGGTTTATGACAACAGAAGACATTTGTTGGTGGCATTGCATTTGGGCAAGTTGACACATGTGCCGTGCATGGCACATGTGTGTAATCTGATCATACAACGCTTTGTGCATAAGTACCCAGGCTTACAGGACGTCCTGAAGCAGGCCAGGAAGGTGTGTGGCCAGGCGTTCCTACACGGCCATGGCGCACTTTTCAGTTATCCAGCGGCAAAAAAACATACCAGTGAGGCGTTTGATTTGCGACAGCCCGACACGTTGGAATTCAGCACTCCTAATGTTCGACCACCTGCTCCAACAAGAAAAAGCCGTTAACAAGTATTTGTATGACCGGGGTGCTATGACAGCCTCTGCGGAGCTGGGAATTGTTTTGCCACGTTACTGGACGCTCATGCGCAATGCCTGTAGGCTCATGCATCCTTTTGAGGAGGTGACAAACCTAGTCAGTCGCACCGAAGGCACCATCAGCGACATCATACCATTTGTTTTCTTCCTGGAGCGTGCCCTGTGAAGAGTGCTGGATCAGGCCGTAGATGAGCGTGAAGAGAAAGAGTTGTGCACACCATCACCACCAGAAGCAGCCTTATCAGCGTCGCTTGCTGGACCTGCGGCAATGCTGGAAGAGGATTGTGAGGAAGAGGAGTCAGAGGAGGAATGTGGCTTTGAGGAGGAGGAGGAAGACCAACCACAACAGGCATCCCAGGGTGCTTGTTGTCACCTATCTGGTACCCGTGGTGTTGTACGTGGCTGGGGGGAAGAACATACCTTCAGTGAGATTACTGAGTTCAAGGAACAGGACATGAGTAGCTCGGCATCCAACCTTGTGCAAATGGGGTCTTTCATACTGTCGTGCCCGTTGAGGGACCCTCGTATAAAAAGGCTGAAGGAGAACGACCTGTACTGGGTGTCCACGCTCCTAGACCCCCGGTATAAGCAGAAAGTGCCTGAAATGTTACCGAATTATGGCAAGTCGCAAAGGATGCAGCAGTTCAAAAATCAATTAAAAAGTATGCTTTACACAGCGTATAAGGGTGATGTCACAGCACAACGAGAATATAATAGGGGAAGAGGTGAAAGTAATCCTCCTCCTCCCATGACCACGCCGGCAAGGACAGGATGCTTTGCAGACATGTTGTTGATGGAGGACATGCGGAGCTTTTTAAGTCCTACGCATCGCCACAGCCCTTCGGGTCCACCCTCAGAGAATGACTCGACCAACAGGTAGCAGACTACCTCGCCTTAACTGCAGATATCGACACTCTGAGGAGCGATGAACCCCTTGACTACTGGGTGTGCAGGCTTGACCTGTGGCCTGAGCTATCCCAATTTGCGATAGAACAAGTGTCCTGTCAGAAAGGACCTTCAGTGAAGCAGGAGGTATTGTCACTGAGAAGAGAAGTCGCCTAGGTCAAAAAAGTCTAGATTACCTCACCTTTATTAAGATGAATGATTGATGGATCCTGAAGGACTGACAGTGGGCGATACATTTGACTAAAAAAGGCCTGATGAGGGGGACGTAACAGGGTGTCGCGGCTGCCGGCCCACCGCGTGATATTTAAATCCCTTGCTCACCTCAGTACCTTGCCCTGTCATGGTTTCCAGTTCCTGGTTTCCTGAGAGTGCTTTATCATTGTGAATCTGATTTCCTGGTATCCTGATCTTGGCTTTTCCCTGGTTATTCTGAATTCTGGTTTCCCTGACTTGGCTTGTGTAAACGGTATTGTGTATTTTCTGGATTCCTTGACCTCGGCTTTCCCTTTGACCATTCTCTGTCTCTAGCGTATTAGTCCGGCCATTCTAAGGTCCGGTTTACGCTCTGTCCTTTTATTTTCCTTTTCTTGCCTATGTATATATTTACATAGTTTCTGCATGCTAGACCACACTAGTAGTCGTGACATTGGGATTAAACTGATAAGAATAGTACTACTTAACACACCACTCCTATCTGGTGGCACATTAGATTGCACGCGCAGTGCCCCAAATTTGAAGTTGGAGGACTGACCAAGCATCTTTTTCCATCTCCCGGTTCCTAAAATCGATGCCATATACACGTCCCCTGATAGGGGACGTAACAGGGATTAAACTGATAAGAATACTACTTAACACACCTTATAATAACGCAGAGAGAGGCAATGCAGAGAGAGGAGTCTGAAGAAGAGGAGTCAGAGGAGGAAGGTGGCTTTGAGGAGGTGGAAGACCAAAACACAGCAGGCGTCCCAGGGGGCTTGTTGTCAACTTTTGGGGACCCTTGGTGTTGTACGTGGCTGGGTGGAGGAAGAAACCTTCAATGACATCAGTGAGAACAAGGAACGGGACATGGCTAGCTTGGTATCCAACCTTGTGCAAATGGGGAGTTTGCGGTTGTGCAAATGGACTGTTTGCGGTTGTTTGCGGTGCGTTAAACGGGGAGTTTGGTCTGTCACTGTGAAGCAGGCGTAACCCTTACACTACCTGATCGATACAACATGATACCTGATGTTTTAAAGCACGTTATTCCAAACAATTTAGGAATGTTAGGTGATTTATGCCCTTTATGGATTAAAACCAGACTCTGCATCAACTATGTAATTTTCCATGGGAGTTTTGCCATGGATCCCCCTCCGGCATGCCACAGTCCAGGTGTTAGTCTCCTTGAAACAACTTTTCCATCACTATTGTGGCCAGAAAGAGTCCCTGTGTGTTTTAAAATTTGCCTGCCTATTGAAGTATATGGCGGTTCGAACCGAAAATTTTATGTTTGAGACATCACTATTAGATAATGATGATAAATTTAAATACATTTGTGGTTGGTTAATATCGTTACCATGAAATACCTTGTGACTGGAATTAAGTCGGTGTGGTGTGCCGGAACCGACGAAGGGGTAGGCCTGTAAAAGAGATCAAAAGGAAATGCAAGAAAAACACACTTATTGCAACATAATTATCACATAAGATTCGTTTGCCTTTCCTCTTATATGTTGTGGAAAGTTTCTGTGTAACATAGCTGATTTCCAGTGAACCTAATTTATCATGTGTACCGGCGTACTGCTACTGGATGCGGTACTTATATTGAATGGATGTCCTAAATAAGAGTCAGGGTCCCAACCTAATCTAATGCAAGGAGTACGAATGTAGAACCACATTTAGAAGTAGTTAGGGAATTATTTAGTAGAGCAAGTGTCTTAATTTTACAACATGACAGGAGGCTTCGTATTTTGCATATCTCTCTTTACTAACTCCAAACAGCAGCAAAGAAACACATAGAAAAAAAGAAACAATAACAGGAGAGTAGGATGTACATAAGGCAATGTGACCTCATAATTTCCTCTTTCTTTGCTGCTCCAATCAAGCAGACATGTCAGAGTATTACTCTTCTCCATTACTTTATGTCTCTATTGCCTCTTTTGAGGTTGTTTATTTTGGATCTTACTGGGGTTGCATGTTAATGTTGAATTAGGCCATTTATATAAGCTGTCAATAGGGATTTCACCCATAACCTTGTATTTACTATTGAAGCAAGGATTAGTGCTCTCTGTCAGAGCTGAGGCCTGCACTCAAAGGGTAACCCCTTACTGTGTTTTGCTGCACTGTGATACTGTATGGAGCCATGCTGTTACAGCCTCTGTTAACCCCCATAACCTTGTATTAACTATAAGAGCATGGATTAGTACTCTCTGCCAGGACTGTGGCCAGCACTCAAGGGGTGAGCCCCCTACTGTATTTTTACTGCACTGTGATACTGTATGGAGCTGTGCTGTTACAGCCTCTGCTAGACAGGATTTCCAGGACATACTGCTTAAAAGATGTCCCATTCTCCCATAACCTTGTATTAACTACTAGAGCATGGATTAGTGCTCTCTATCAGGGCTGTGGCCTGATAGAGAATATGTCCCATTCTCCCATAACCTTGTATTAACTACTAGAGCATGGATTAGTGCTCTCTATCAGGGCTGTGGCCTACTGTATTTTTACTGCACTGTGATACTGTATGGAGACATGCTGCTGCAGCCTCTGGTAACTAATGTACAGGATTTCCAGGACATACTGCTTAAAGTAATATCTCCCATAACCTTGAATTAACTGTTTGAGCACAGATTAATGCTCTATGTCAGAGCTGTGGCCAGCACTAAAGGGTTCATACCCTGTGCACCTGGGGTGATGCCCCCTATTATATATATTTTACTACACTGTGATACTGTACGGAGTCAGGCTGTTACAGTCTCTGTTAACTGCTGAATATGATTTCCAGGACATACTGCTTAAAGGAATATCCCCCATAACCTTGAATTAACCGTTTGAGCAAAGATTAGTGCTCTCTATCAGAGCTGTGGCCAGCACTTAAGGGTTCATACCCTGTGCACTCGGGGTGAGGCCCCACTATAGTTATACTACACTGTGGTACTGAGTAGAGACAGGCTGCTACAGCCTCTTAACTGCTGTATATGATCTCCAGAGCATACTGCCTAAAGAAATATCTCCCATGACAGTGCATTATTATTGGAAGAGCTGAGGGAAGCTTTCTATCAGGCTGATGGCCAGCACTTAAGGGTTCATAACCTGTGCACCTGGGGTGAGGCCCCTACTATATTTCTACTACACTGTGCTGACATGCTGCTACAGCCTCTGTTCACTGCTGGATATGATTTCCAGGACATCCTGCCAGAAAGAATATCTCCCATGACAGTGCATTAATTATTAGAAGAGCTGGGGGAAGCTCTCTATCAGGCTGATGGCCAGCACTTAAGGGTTCATACCCTGTGCAACAGGGGCGAGGCCCCTACGGCATTGCTGCCTCTAGACCTATCCCTCTCGACAGCGAATTTGAGGATTGAAAACCTGAACTTTGGAGCTGGGACCGACACTTAAGGTTTCAGATCCGGTGCTCTCGGGGTGTGACCCCCATGATGGGTGAGTCGCACTACCCGACTGAGGGAAGGGTTACGGCGGCAACCTCTGCCAACAGCTGAAGGAATACCTCCATGGATAAGGTATCATGATACGGTACGGGCTTATGCCCTGTACCAATTCTGCGGCCAGCTGTTAAAGACCCACGGCCTATGCTCCAAACCTCGGCTAGGCGGGCAATGCACTAAAATGCCTAACATAGGCATGCGATTAAAACCCAGGCCGACCACTGAACAGGAGTTCCGAGCCACCTACTTAAAGATATATATTTCCCTTGACAGATGAACTTAATAATGACAGAGTTGATTGACACTCTCTATTAGGGTGATGGCCACCACTTAAGGGTTCATACCCTGTGCACCTGGGATGAGCCCCCACTATACGTGCGCTGCACGGTGCTGCTGAGTGGAGGCATGCTATGGCAACCTCTATGTACTGGGTGAGCCCCAGTCTGTTTTATTTGGCCATGATTCTGAATACGACCCGCAAGGGTTTCCATGAACACTGCCTACTGTCATTGTAGACTGATCTGTTCGCCCTGCGTCCTGTGCCTGAATACTGGTTTGTGCCTTACACAGAGGTATTCCTTTACTACGATAAACCTACTTGACAATGTTACGCACTCGTGGCTTTGTAGCCTCTTGCTTAGAATGTCCATATCCGCAGGTGGTCAGACAACCCATGCCATTCCATGCCGGTCAGAACGGCTTAGATGACTATAGTGACCAACGGAGGATGTCTTTCAGGATTCACGACCTTACCATGGGCGATGCTGGACGCTGCCAAACATCGTCTGGGAACGGGCATACAATTTGAGTATATGGACTCACAGCTGTTTCTGCTCCTCGCAGAAAAACCCAGTGTTCGCCACTCCCATGGGATGTGCCTAGCAGCACCCCTCCGCACTGACGGATGGTTGGCGGAACTGGGCGCCAAGATAGTCGGAACCCTAGGCACAAGGCACAAGGCACAGCAGTTCCGAAGGGAGCTTATTACACACACAAGGGAGGTGTTATGTGATTACCTTTACAAGGGATTATTTGTGACTGGTTGGCGGCAGAGCCGGTCACTGACCACTTCGGGACATCTGACCCGATACCCGCTACCGCTAACTCTATTGCCCGTATAGAGCGAGAGTCAACCAATGGCGCTCTAGATAAGCGGACGGAGAAAACGGAATGCACAGCTACATTAGGTACCATCACTCTACCTCCTACTACATCCACAGGGAATTTCACCGCATCTAGGTGAAAGGCACTCAATCCTGGGGAAGACCACTTTCACGTAGTCAACCGAGTTGCGTTCAGGGACCTAAAGACATGTCAGGATGGTCTTCTTCCTTCCCTCTCAGCGACATTACCCAGGTTTCCTGGGCCACGTCCTTTTCCTGATCCAGTAGCTCGGAGCCTGGAGGGCCTCTATAAACTACCGAAAGAAGTAATGAATACAGGTGGGGAAGACGAGACACTATCTTCTGGGAGAACTTCATTCAGATCATGCCAGGGAACTGAAAACTCGTCAACACCCACGTTCATCCGAGAACCGACTTGAGCCTCCAGGCTTGTAGAAGACAATTCGCTCAGAGGACACGTAGACGATTCCACGCCTTGGGAATATTCACACGGCTCTCCACGGCATTACCGCGACCCTGTATGTGGCATACCTAGACTTCTTGGTACTATATTTCACTATACATGGATTGATAAGGAAGTGTTAGATCGGCTGCACACTACTGCAGGTGACCACAGATTAGACCGTCAGGTTTCACATCCACCGGGATTGACCAACTCACATTTATCAGACAACATGAAGACTCCTTCGATCTCTGTCTTCTTCGCAGAACCCAGAGATCAGCCCGTCCCTCGGGAGAGACACATATCATAGGGGGCCGACTGATTTGGATGTTACCACTCGTCACAGTATAAGTCGAGGCATGATAGTGATCGCGCTCCATCTGACTGGACCTCCCCGAGGGACTTATGCTTCTCATGCTTACAAGGTCTACGGAAATTCTCTGACAGGCGAGGATCTTCTCCTTCTACATTCATATCCAACTATTCCTCATGGAGCCGTAGGGAACTCACATTTTCTATCCCGAGAGGGTCGGCTACCTGGGGACCTGGACCCGTTTTGGGGGTTCTTGGCAGGTCGGTGGACGATTGCAGGCTGCCGGGGACCTCTTGGGATGCGACGACCCTACCCCTACATCTGGACGTTCCCAGACGGTCTGGTTTTCGGTCCTG